ACACACACACACACACACACACACACACACACACACACACGCACAAACACACTCACAGACAAAAGCACAACAATATGCGTTTTGTGCTGCTGTTACACAGCGCAAAACATATAACCAGCCAGAAAACAGTAACTGAAACTTCGTCAGAATAATTTTTGTTCCCACGTACGACCCCGCAAGCTTAAATTCAGTTTCAATTTGCACTTGTGTTACGATTTAGGGCACTTCAAAGATATTTGTGGCGAAGTGACTATTTCGCTTACCACACAGGCTGCAAAGCTGAAACTTTGCAGAGATATTCTATATTCACGTGTGGTCTTGATTCAGCTTGGAGGTGAATTCCCTCCCACGCAGATACGACAAATACTCAGTTTATTGCAGATTCGAAACCGAGTGCATTGTTGCGGATTTTGTAGTCCTGTTGCGAATTCCTTCAAATTTGCATTTTTCATCAAACGGCCGCTCACCGCAAAAATGCTAAAAATGATAGTCGTGCTTCTTGCAAAAAACTGATAGTCATGCACACTGGAGGTCCATGCGCCCTCACAATGTAACACCTTCATTCCAGCCGATACCCTTCCCTTGCATGCGGAAAGAAACCAAAACACCGTCAATATGTGTCCAGGACTTAAACTGCAGCGCAAGAACCATTCCTGCTGCTAGCGATCTGCAAGTTTAACGCAAAAACACATGAACGCACCGGCAAGTATAGTGCGTTGCAGCCTGGGGTTCTATGATCCGTACTTGTAGAAAGGCTGCCTATACTATTGGGCGTGGCTGCCGTATTACGAATTGAATAAATGATGCCCAGTTTATGCAGGACCCATACCTAAGCAGAAGATTATCTCACGTTTGCCGACCCACACATGAATAGCAAACCCTCAGGAAAATAATGCTTCCTGCTCAAGTCCAGTACCAAGCTAATTTGATGCCATCTGTGTCCCGAAGCTGAAATTCATTTATGCGCACATGAGACCTAGAAATGCTTTAAAGATGAATTAGAAATATTTAGGTTGGTACATCGACATAAAACATCCTCGCAAACTTTCTGCTCCCTAGCATGACTGGTTGGCGAAATCGCTATTCGTTACTAATATTTTTGTCCAAACACGCAACACAGGCGAAAGCAAAAACTCGTTTTACGCCTACACGCCCATATACTGAAAAAAGATATTTTAACCCAGGCTGGAGCGCACCGGGTGGGCCCGTGCGATCATGCGTTTCTGCACCGGGCTTGAATTACTCAGGTCATTAACTGTATGAATGGCTGTTGCTTCACACTTACCTTTTGCGGTCATCAGCATAAATCACCATAAGTTTTGCAAAGTAAATGTATGATTTCCATTTAACAGTCGTTTTTTACAAGTAACCGAGTTGCTCAGTGAGAAATTTTTGCGTCGACTTCTAAGTGCTCGTAACTAAGAACCACGCATACCTCAACGCCGAATTTGAAATACTTAAGGTGTACTTGGACAGTGAACATTCCCTCAAAATTTCATCCTTCCAGCTTTTCTGGTTACCGAGTTAGCAATTTTCCAGCCAAAACCCTCACACACCCATACTTGGGTACTCCACGTGCTTGGGAAGCTGAATTTGAAATTTTTAAATTGCACTATGGACAAGGAACATTGGTCTAAAATTTCAGCCTTCCAGCTCTTCTAGTTGCTGAGTTAGTAATTTTCCTGCAGATACTTTCATATGCCCTTACGCGAGTACCATGCATAGCTTGGGACTGAATTTGAAACATTTGAGTTGTACTTCGATAGGAAACACTCCTCCAAAATTTCATCTTTCTAGCTTTCCTGGTGCCCGAGTTAGCAATTTTCCCCCTAAAACTTTCATACGCCCTTACGTGAGTACCGCGTAAAACTGGGGTTGAATTTGAAATCTCTAGCTAGTGTGTGCACAGGAAATATCCTTACAAAGTTTCAGCCCCTTGTGGTTCCCGAGATCTCTTTCCCGCCAAAAAATTTGCATATTTTTTCTAAAACGTCCGTACGCTGCATCTAGGCGTACAAAGGGGATGAAATTAAAACGGGAGGGTCGTGCATGGTATAGACACATATTCCCAAAGTTTCAGCCTTCTAGCTTTTCTGGGTCTCGAGTTGAA